TCATTATTATCTTAATTTCATTAATTAAATATATTTGATTAACCATAAAAGATAATCATTTTATAAAAATTTTCTCAGAAATGCCGAATTAATCATTTATTTATACCAATTTACTTATATTAATACTAATAATCACTATTTCTTTACTTTTAACTATCGCCCTATATTAGTTGCAGACGCCGTTAGATGGCAGCAGCATGCAGGGAGCACAAATTTTCAGTTATCCTATTACTTAAAATTAGTGATTATTAGCATTAGTATAAATAAATGATTAATTTTTTTATAACTTGTATTAAAAAACAATTTCATTAAAGAATTGTGAATATGAAATAAAAAATCTGCAACTTTTTTTAAAAAAAAAAAAGAATTTTGTTAAAAAAATGTAATTGTTAAATAAGTTTTAATGTAAATTTTTCTTATTTTTATGTCTAAAAAATTATGATGGCAAAATACAAATTTAACTAAATTTTTTGATCTTTTATTTAAGAATTTTTTAAAAAGTTATAAGTAAAAATTTAAGAAAAATATATCAGCTTAATTTTTATTATTTTAACAAAATTCTAAAGCTTTTTTTATAAATAAAGAAAAAAATTGCATATTTTCTATTTAATGAATGTTTAAAATTTGTAACTCTTTTCAAATCTTGGCGCGCGTTCCGCTGTTCCGTGTGTGGTCGGTATAATAGAGTTCTTGTCACTTTAAAGAAAACTGTTATTTTTTAATTAAATTGCAATTATTATGAAATGTGATTGTTAAATAATAAAATAATTTAATAAAATTTGCAATTTCTATTAAATATAAATTATTTTTTCACACATTTTACACTAATTTCTGAAAATATTATGAAAACTGACAACGAGTTAAAATCTACAGTTACCACTTGCACATATCAAGTAATTATTTATTATTTATCACGTTAATAATTAAAATTCTTACAAAAATTAACTCTAGGAATGTTCATTTAACCTCACAATACTAATTTTTATAAATTTTCATCAATTTAAAGCTTTTTTTTGATAATTACCTAAATTCGACTTAAATTCGACTTAGATTCGACCCAGCTGGGTCGATTTTAGGTAAATCGAATCCGCCAGGGATGTGCCATAGAAAACTACTGCACATAAATATTAATAAAATTTATTTATTAATAACATTCTATGTTTACAGTAACCTCACAGCAACCTTACAATAACCTTACCCTACTGCGCAAGTCCAAATATCAATGGACTCTACTGTGCTTGTGAAAAGGTAATTGGACCTGAACAAAATATTTTTCTTTTACGAAAATTATCATTTTTGTTCAAATGACATATCTGATAAAATGTTAATTTTTCTTAAAAATGAACATTTTACACGTGTCGATTATGTTTTGACGTCTAAATCAAATTTATTTTTACAAATTCATTTTTTTATAACAATTTGACGTAAAATTTAAATTTTATTTGACACATTTATTTTTGGATTGCAATTTGACGTCGAATTGTTTAAAAAAAATAAATTTGAATTTGATGTCAAACTAAAGTCAAAAATTAAATTTCAATTTGATGTCAATGTTAAATAAAAATAATAAATTTTTCGTCTTTAATGTAAAAAAACATGATTTTTTTTAAATTATAATTTTCCTTTAAAAATGTTATAAAAATTGATCATCAACTTCAATTGTGCTCGATATATTTTTCCTGTAATTTTCATGCAAAAATACACTTCCATGCTAAATATGAATTGTCTGGGTTAAATATTGTGTGCACTAGGGGGATTAAACGCATTTTTGAAATTTTTATTTTTTCTTGACAACGCTGAGGCATATGTAGCCATAATTCAAAAAACAAAGAAATGGTTTTTCCAAAATACTCACTAAAATCATGTATGATGAGAACAAAATAATTTACAATATTTTTGGTTGAGCTTATGGTACTAGAAAAAAATGAACTTGGAGACAAGTTTTCAAAATTTGAAAAATTTTATTATAAAATATATGTATATAAAGTATAAAACTTAATACTTAAAATTAACAATTTACATTTAATTATGTTATAAATATATCTGAGAAAATAATATTGAGTGATCCCTGGCGGATTTGATTTACCTAAATTCGACCCAGCTGGGGCGAATTTGAGTCGAATTTAGGTAATTATCAAAAAAAGCTTTCAATTGATGAAAATTTATAAAAATTAGTATTGTAAGGTTAAATGAACATTTATAGAGTTAATTTTTGTAAAAATTTTAATTATTAACGTGATAAATAATAAATAATTACTGGATATGTGCAAGTGGTAACTGTAGATTTTAACTCGTTGTCAGTTTTCATAATATTTTCAAGAAATTAGTGTAAAATGTGTGAAAAAATAATTTATATTTAATAGAAATTGTAAATTTTATTAAATTATTTTATTATTTATCGAGCACAGTTTAAAATAATTGCAATTTAATTTAAAAAAAAAGTTTTCTTAAAAGTGATAAGATCTCTACTATACCGACAGCAAGAGGATATTTTCAGGTGAGTAAAGTTATTGTAGCGTGTAGTTTTGTTGTGACTAAAAGATGTCACTTTAGTTTCTATAGTGATCAGACAGGAACATCGAATCTCATGATCAAATATTCATGAATATTCATCACTATAGAAACTAAAGCGACCTCTTTTAGTCACAACAAAACTACACGCTACAATAACTTTACTTACCTGAAAATATCCTCTTGCTGTCGGTATAGTAGAGTTCTTATCACTTTTAAGGAAACTTTTTTTTTAAAATTAAATTGCAATTATTTTAAACTGTGCTCGATTTATAATAAAATAATTTAATAAAATTTGCAATTTCTATTAAATATAAATTATTTTTTCACACATTTTACACTAATTTCTTGAAAATATTATGAAAACTGACAACGAGATAAAATCTACAGTTACCACTTGCACATATTAAGTGATTATTTATTATTTATTACGTTAATAATTAAAATTCTTACAAAAATTAACTCTATAAATGTTCATTTAACCTCACAATACTAATTTTTATAAATTTTCATCAATTTAAAGCTTTTTTTTGATAATTACCTAAATTCAACTTAGATTCGCCCCAGCTGGGTCGAATTTAGGTAAATCGAATCCGCCAGGGATATAGGAGTTAGTACTGTAGTTAACGTCATAGAAATAAAAAAAATTTGAGAAATTGATTAACTTTAACAAGAAAAAGTATTTTTACTAACTTTATGAGACAGTAGGATTAATCTGAAATATAATTGAGAACGTTTAATGTAGTATTATAGTTTAGAAGCAGCAAAAAACGAGTTCAAACAAAAATTTGTTTTTCGTTGATTACTTTATTTAAAGAAAAGAAATCTTTTGTATAATATTACAGACCAATAGTACTTTACGAAAAAATGAAAGAAAAAATTATAATTGGATCTATCTGGTCATCAGACGTAAAAAGGGGTATTTTTGGGCAGTTTTTGGGCCGTACCTAAAAACCAAAAAGGATTAGATAATCATTTTTAAGGGGGATGCCTGAAGGGTCTAATTACGAAGAGAATGTTTTTTTTCTTTTAAATCGAATGAATAGAACCTGAGTAATGCTGTCCGACAGTTTTAAAATCATCGTTTCGAGAAAAACGCATTTAAATATTCAATTCCTAAATGTATTTGACAAAAATGCAACGAAAAAAAAAATCTATTTTTTGGAGGTATAATCTATAATACTACCTTAAATACAATGCAAATGGGAATTAAACAGCACTCTAAATCTGAATTAGTGGAAGTTGGCTAATTCAAATAGTTCGAATTCGACTACTGTGAATTATTCAAAAGTTATCAATTCAAACAATAACAAATGTACAACTGACTAAATTCCATATTATATAAATAATAGAAATGCAATGAAAAAAAGTATTTTTGATTTCAGTCTTTACCCTCGCCTTTAACCTTAAGAACTGCGTCCGGACGCGCTCGACCAAGGAAAGCTATTAATAAATAATGTTAATACTCAGTTTATTAGAAAAGAAAAATTTCGTTAAATCAAAAAACTTTTTAATATAGTTAGGTTTGCTTACTTTAACAGTAATTAAACAATTAAACATTCATTACTTCATTTAGTAAGTAAATATGACTATTTTTTATTATTAGTAGATATTGAGTAATTGATAGTAGTTTTTGACTAATTAAACTGTAACAAATGTATAGATGGCTATATTATATATTATATACAAAAAATAAAACAAATACAATTATTTTTTTAATAGAAAAATTTCTCTAGAACAAATACGATTTCTATATGGTTAAATTTGCTTATTCAAGCAGTAATTAAATAATTAAACATTTTCTAATTCATTTAGTAAATAAATATGATTATTTTTTAGCAAAAATAAGGCACTTATTTAATAACCAAATTTTATCCAATTTAAATTGAGAGACTAAAAATTTTATGGATAGGTTAACATTAAAAAAATATATTTTTAGTCACCTATATTAAACCAAAATATAATTGAAACACATTTAAATTTAACTGAAATAGTTCAAAGCTCTCTAAACTTGAATTTGTTGATATTGAGTGTAGTTTCTGACTAATTCAATCTGTTACGAATGTACAGATGACTAAATTATATATTATATACACATTATATATTATATTCACAAAATAAATAAAATTAAATTATTTTTTATTCGAATTTTTTACCTTTGCCTTCAACCTTGAGAACTGCGCCTAGACGCGCTCGACCAAGGGAAGTTATTATAGTTTGTAACAAATTATTTTTTTTAATAGAAAAATTTCATTAAAACAAAAACCATTTCTGTATAATTAATATGCTTATTCTATCAATAACTAAACAATTAAATGTTTTCTAATTTACTAAGTAAATAAATATCACAAAGAGTGATACTAATTTAAATAACAATATTTTAACTAATTCAGATTTAGAGACATAGTTCCCATCATGAAAATAACATTGAAAAACAAATAAAAAAACCTGTACTTTTATCCAAGAATTCGTCAGATATGGCAAATCTATTAGAGAGCTTCATCCTCAGAAAAATCCTCTCTTTCATCTAAATTTATTATTTCAGAATTTTCGAGTTCTTCAATTCGCCTCAATAATTCCTCATCATCTGGATTTTCTTCTTCCATGTTAATTGGAATATTTTCTGCGATATTAGAATTTACTTTTTTTAAATTATTTCTATATCGCTGCTTAGTTACGAAAGATTTACAATTTTTCGATGATTCTGAAAAGAATAATAAATTATATGATATTAATTGATGAGTTTTTGTGGAAATTTTTTTTCCATACTCGATAAAATTATCGTTTATATAAAAAATAGTTATTAAATATACATAATTCATTAAAATATAGTACAGTTTATTTTCACATTAAATATTGTTTTAAAATTAATTTATTTTTAATATTCTTTCGTTACTAACAATAATTTGATTAAAATTTAATTTTTTTAGTTGACATTTATTTGACAAGAATATTTAATTAACTTAGTTTATGATAATCAGTAGTTGTAAGAAGTGCAATTGTTTAAGCTATTTTAGACTCGATTTTTACTTTGGCACTTTGATTACTCAAAATGTCCTTATTTCTAAGATTAATTATGACTTTATTTTATTCCAGATGTTTTATAATTTTTCTCTGTCTTTTATTTACAAAATAAAATTCCCTGTATTTTTTAGGTCTAAATAAAGCGTAGTAATCCTAATTAAATTTTTTTTATAAGAGAATTTTGATTAATTCAAATTCTAATAACTGGAAATTCTGTTGAATGAAAATTCAATTTAAAATAAAGCCACCTTTATGAAATTATTTTTAATAGCAATTTGATAATTTATAATTCCATATTACAAATATTCATGGGGCAAAATTCGGCAAGTGTTCCCACCCCAAAAAATAATATTTCAGGATTGAGTTGATGATTGGCTAAAGTATAGTCCTATTGGACCTACATTCAACCACCAGACTATCTGACCCAATAGCAAAAATTAAATTTATAAATTAAGATTTGTATTTAAAGTTTTAAAAATTTTAATTTGAAGTCTCAGGCGATTTCTTTAAGATTCATCTTAACATAACTTTTATAAAACTTTTTCATTTACACTTTTATTATAGGCAGTGATGCCAGGCTGCACACCAATTCCACTCCCACCATGCCGCCCGTGCGCCTCCCTCCATACGGCCACACACACAAGTATAAACCGTGCGCTTACTTTTGTAGGTGTGCCTATTTTTCGTTTTCCTCATATTCGCCCGCTTCAGCTGAGCGATTATGCCTGTTTTTACCGACAGCCGGTTAATTTCACGCGCGAAATTTTGAATTCTTTATATTATAAATATACTTTTATTAATGTTTTTATAGATATTTATTAACAAAAAATTAATAAATATACTATATATACACTATATTATAAATATAATATATTACATATACATAATGTAATATATAAATAGTACTGAAAAATAAAATTAATGGTGATAATAATTAATATTAAATTAATTATACCTAGTTATAATCACTATAAGTAAAAAAAGATATTTTTTAAAATCATAAGATTATAATAATGTAGTAAATAGACGATTATTACTATTATTAGTAACTGAAAAATTTTTAACTTTTTTTATAAAAGTAATAATAAAAATTTATTTTTTAATATTTAAACATATATTTAAATTACACTAAAAAAACAAATTTATTGTTTCAAATAATTGATTACTTGTTTATTATAATGAAAGTGTTTATTTGTATTGAATAATCAATATTATTTTAGCGAATTAAATTGTATTTCTTTCGACAATTAGTCGGAATGACTAGGGCAGCTTATCAGAATAACCAGGTATTAAAAATTATTTATAAAAACATTAATAAAAGTATATTTATATTATAAAGAATTCAAAAGTTCGCGCGTGAAATTAACCGGCTGTCGGTAAAAACAGGCATAATCGTTCAGCTGAAGCGGGCGAATATGAGGAAAACGAAAAATAGGCACACCTACAAGAGTAAGCGCACGGTTGATACTTGTGAGTGTGGCCGTATGGAGGGAGGCGCACGGGCGGCATGGTGGGAGTGGAATTGGTGTGCAGCCTGGCATCACTGATTATAGGGTATTTGAAAGGATTTTCTCTACTTTATCAATATGAAATCTAAATTATTTAATTTTTTTAAAAGTATTTTTAAAAATTAATTTTCTCTGCTTAAGGTCATTTTTAAATTTTTTGTTTTGGTCTTCTAAATAGTAATTTTGTATTCTTTAAAATCACACTTTGACGGAAATAGGATCTGCTTATTTTCAAGGTCAAATTTGACAAATTGTAGTTTTTTTATTGTTTCAATGTTTTTATGATTTATTTCATTTAAAATTAAAAAATTCGTGAAACATTTTTAATTTATATAAAATTTGGAGATCAGTGTCCTATATAATTTAAAATTTTTTGGTCCACCCTAACATGTATAAAAAATCAATTTTTATGAATAGTAGGAAGAAAACCGAAGTTTTTATCAGTTATAAAAATAACTTTTTTTGTAATGTAAAAAAATTTAAATGAATAAAAAAATATGAATGATATTACAATTTGAAAACAAACTTACCATATAAAAGATTGGAAATCTTTGTGTCTCCAAATTTTTCACTATTGGAGCTGCCAGGCCATGAGAATTGTGAAACTAATTCATCCTTTGTAAGTTGTTTTAATGAATAGTTTAAAAATTCTCTGAGTTTTGTTTCACCAATTTGAACCAAATGATTATGCTAAAATAATGAGTATTTTATTTATACACCTTTATTGAAGAAATTTTACACAAACTATTAATTAAAATTGAAAAATATTATTGATAATAATTAACTTGGATAAAAATTCTAGTTAATTGTAAAAATAATTGAATTTTGGATAATTAACAGTTAATATTTTTAAAATAAATAAATTTCAAGTGATTTTAAATTGAAATTTTTTTGTAAAAATGAATTGATTGATTGTTTTTACAAACTACAGATGAGATCTCAGTGTCAAAAATGTTTTAATAAAAAAAGTTTGTATTTAGTTTTAGAAGTAATTCATTAAATTTATTATTAATAATTAAAACTTGACGAAAAGCTATAAATAGATATTTAAAAATTAATTTAATTTTAGGAGACATACAATCAAAATTTTCAAAATTAAATAAAATTCAAGAAATATATAATTGAAAAGTTTGCAAATTTGAATTGCTGATGTCATTTTTAAAAGAATTTTAGTCAATAATTAAACAAAAAAATTAAAATGTTTTAAATATCGTAAAAGAAGTCAATAAAAGTTATATTTTAAAGAAAGTCGGAAATAATCTTATAGTCTAAGGGCTACATGTTAATTTATTCGCGGATTGATTAGGATAAGTTTTTTAGCAAACAAAATAAAATTTACAGTGAAACAAATTTTCAAATTTTGAAAAAATTGTAAAAAAATGTTGTAAATATATTAGGAAATCCTTGTGTCAGATTTTAGATATTAATGACTGTATTAAGCATACAAAATTTCAGGACAATCCGTTAAAACGTTTTTGAGATAATTTGTACACAATATTTTGTGACACACACACCTAGATAAGGACATTTGCTCAGAACTTCAAATATATTAATTCTAAATGAGAATGAGTCCATATAACTTTCTTTTTAAAAATTAAAAATCTTCACGAATTCAAACCTTCCTCATTAGGAAGCAACATTTATAAGATTGAGATAATAAAACGTTGAAGAAACAAAAAACTTACCACACTTTCAAGTCTATCATTATTCTCTTCAGAAATAAATTTGTGATAATCTTCCAAATTACTCAAAGGTAATCCTTGAAGTAGCTGGAATAATGTAGTTTGCAATTGGGTATTCGTAGAAACACCTTTTTGCAAAAGCTCAAGAATTTGAGCATTTTGATTCATTATTCTTTCATTTTGAGCTAAAATTTGGTCCTGCTTTTCATGAAGCAGCTTGCATTCGTTTTCAAGAAATCTGAAATTATATGGATATATCAAAAATATTATTTTCTTCTCGTTCGTTTTGTATAAGAAAGTTTTTATATTATTATGTCTATAACGTTTTAAAATCTGAATGAAAGAAATTTTTCTCTGTTTCGATATTTTAACAAAAATTATTGTATTTGAATGAGAAGTATGAAGTGAATTTATTTAATTCCTCTTTTATTTCCCAAAACTTGAAATTATTTTCTTCAATTAATTTTTTATTATGAACATTCAAATGTAGGCATATATATATTTTTTTGCTTCTCTTTGATCCCCCGTTCTGTATAAGTTGCTATTGGACCGTAAGGTCCCTTTTACCGCGTCAGTACACATACTTTGTTTTAAAATACAAACTTGAATTTGAACGTGGAAAACTTTAGGGCTATAAATTTTTACAATATTTTTTTAAGTAAACAAGAACTTACCCTAAACGTTCTTCAATAGTTTCGAGATTTGCTTTACTTTTCTTCTCTATTATTGAAGCAATTTCATTTGCCAGATCTTTGGCTACTAAAATAGGTTCCTCTGTTATAGTAGAGAATGGATCAGTGATTATAAAATCATCCAATTGACTACTGGAACTCGCATGTGAACTATATGAACAAAAAATAAATATAATTCTAATAAATTAAATTTGATAAATATTTAATTTTTACAAATTACTGTTATTAGACATTCAATAAATTTAATAATTTATTAAATTTTAATTTTTAGAATATTTAAAAATCAAACTGACACAAGAGTACGATTATGCAAATTTTTGAAATTTTGAAATTTATCACATTTTTAAATTAAAATGATTCAACAAAAATTATGTTGTAGATAAAAAATATTTTTTATCAATCACCTTTGCTTTGCAGAACTAGTTCCGAATTTAGACTGCGATGAATTATTTTTATTACTTGCACTAGTTTTTTCTATTGCATTTGGTTCACAGTTTGTGGCCATTGAAATTTGATCATAAGTAAGTTCCTGGTGTATTCTACACAAACAGAAAATAATTATAATTAAAGCCACAATGTTCTTATACGGAGAAAAGAGAAACATTGGACTAACACCGTTTTCCGATTTACTCTTGAGAAGAGAGCATTCAACATGAAAAATCTGTTGAATTAATGCCGAAATCGTGACAGAGCCCAGTAAAATAAAATCAATCAATCAATAAAATGGTGTTAGTTCAATGTTTCTCTTTTCCCCGTGTATGTTTCTAATAACAATTTAAAAATTTTTTTAAAAGAAATTCATGAAATAATTTTATTTCGGTAAAGCTGTAGCCCTGATTTTTAAAAGTAATTAAAATTGAGGAGATTTTGAATTTAAAGATTTATAAATTTGAATTGCTGAAACCGTTTTTAATATATTAATGATTGAATTAATGTATTCAACGAAATGAATTGGAATTCGGCAATTTTGAAAACATGCAGTAAGTGGAAAATTATATAACGACATAAAAGCAATGTAAAATTATCCGATATAAGAATATGTTGTAAAAGTTTAGAAATTCAAAATAATACAATATTATAATGGGTTTTACTCGACTTTAAAAAAATTTATGCAATTATGTGATCGGAAAAATTACCTTCTCTTGTACATTTACTTACTGCACATGTGTAGTTTTTGTCGCTTTTTTTGACTGCGTGGAATTCTGTGCACTTGACAGCCCTCGTTTGGCTGCAAGGTCACGCAACTTTTGTAATTAAAAACCCCATTTGTACAGAAGGTTTCTTTCTCAGAGGCTCGTCTTCCTCTGACGTTAAAATTTTTAAAGGGGTTTTTATGCTCCTTCCACTGTTGGTCGTTCTTATTTTTCTTTTAGCTTCTGACCGATCCTTGCCTTCTAACTGGACGAGATGAGCCATTCTAAAATGAATATAACAAATTATATCCTCAAGAAACAGGGACTGAATAAATTAAATGTTTTCTGAAAAAAACATTTAGTTTATATAAAAGCAAGAAACTTGTGGCTAATTTAATCAAATAGATACTACAAAGCGTCATGATGCATGCATACAAAAGATATTTTTATTAATTTGAAGTATGTAGGTAATTAAGATGAAAAAAAATAAATTAAAAAAAATACTGTCATAAAAAAAATTAAATTTTATTTACAGCATTTCATAAAAAGAAAAAACACAAATAGTACAACATTCTCATATATGATATTATGAAATGTACACTGTAAAAAAGGAGTTGAATTTCCACTCCTCAAGGGATGCTATAAAAGTCCCACCTATTGTGGAGTTAAAGCAAAGGGAGTTCAGATTAAAAAGTTCAACTTTAACTCCTTACACGAGTTGGAGAATATGATCCTCCATTTTAAAATAACTCAAAAGGGAGTTGATACTGATCTCTTTGTTAACTCCTTTTTCGAGTTGATGTTTAACTTGAAAAATCGAAATCCCAACTCCTATTGCCGTTAACTCCCTAAATTTTTTACAGTGTAAAAACCTATAAAAAACAAAAGCAAACCTCAATACGTGAAACTTCTGAAGTGAACAGAAAAAAATAGGAAGATTAAATGAATGAAAGAATACCATGATTGTTTAATAGATAATGCGTATCAACTAAAGTATAAAGAAAAACAACATCCAAAAACCACATCCAAAAAGAAATTATAATTAATAATTTTTTTGTTAAGCAAGGAGTTTTAAGATAAATTTGTGTATTTACTTACAGTCCCAACAGTAATTTAATTTTGTGGAAAAATTATTTTGGTGATTAAATTGACACAAATCCAATGATTTTCTACTATGTGTTCTTCTTCTCCTTCTTTTCCCCTCCATTGGGGCATCTTATAAACTTTGCTTTTTATTTGTCTTAAATTTACTGTATCCAGATTTTCTGATAGATCCGTGCAATGGTATCCTTCCATGATATCAGATGTTAATCCTACGTCGTATGCTGCTTCAATCCTTTGATATGCTCGAACAAGAAGAACAAATTCATCTTCAATTTTTAGAATATTTTCTATAAGACAAATTCTCGAATCTGTTAAAGCGCAACAGCAATCACGTAAAGCCACAGCTAAAGTAATTTCACCTATTTTTAATATTTTGAACTGTCAAAGTACTTGTCGAGCTGGCAAGTTTTCTGGTAAAGGTCCGTCTCTATGACCTAATGAAGGATGAATAAGAATGTTGTTGTCAATAGGTAAAGAAGAACAATCGTTTAATTCAGACAACCGCTTATGAACTTGTTGGAGAGTCAAGTGTGGTTTTCTAACTAATTTTCGAAGTGTTGGCATATTATTCTCGTAACAAAATGCACTGTAACTTTCTGATGGACCTAATATTTCGACATCATCTACAACGTGTGACAAACCGTGTACATTGTAGGACGAAAACTTTTGACCATAAAGTTGTTGACATAATGTCAAGAAACTTCGTATAGATTCTCGACAAAATGCATACATTTAATTTGGTGTTTCTTCAGAAGTAAGAAGCCGCATAGATGACTGGAGCATTATGAAATGTAAATACGCTTCTTCATTGAAAACATTTCTTAGAACGGCTGGCGCAGTGTAAAGCAACACTTGCCTGAATTCAGTAGCTTTGTAATGTTTGTACAAACTTATTTTTCTTGGCCTGCGGTTAAATTCGGATGGGCAATAAACTGAGAGTTGTTCTATTCTCAAATCAAGTATATTTGTTTGTCTACCGGATAACTTTTGGTTTCCAAATTTGCCATCTACTTTTACGGATAATATTTTTTTACAAACACCTAAATATACCAAATGCATAGTTTCGAATGGAACACATGTTACTAATCCCAAAACTTTAGATAAAGGACTTCTACCTTTATGATGGTTTTCGTCATTAGCATTCTGATATTCCTGATCTGTTCTTTCGATGTTATCTAAATTTGTGAAAACCATAGTTCCACTAGAATTATCACCTTCTACATTACACTTTGAACAAGGATTTGTAGATACGTGTCCAAAATGGTTCAAAGCAAACGCTCTTGCAGGTGCATCTGCTATAAAACATCCAACATTCACTGGAATTATTTGTTCTCTTACTCGAATGCCACCTTCTTCTCGAATTTCACGAATCTCTGTTACAAACTTTTTATAAAAGTCGAATGGGTTTAATGGTTTGTTTATTCCTTTATATATGCCTGCGATGATAGGTCTCTTGTCTCCGATGTTTAATATCCGATACTGATGTGGCCAAAATTGATGTAATCCTTTGTCTACTTTTGCACCATCAGTGGAGAAGTCTATCTCAATTGTTGTTGGCAATTTATCAGCAGGCAGATTTTCCAATTTTTTAGTCATAGTTGACTTTAGGCCAATATGCAGATATTCACCACCAGCAATTGGTTCTATACGTCTACTGGCAACGTCTGTAGAAGTTTTCAGTAAAGTCCTTGTATCTTTCGGTAAATAAATTAAATTAAATGGAAACTCTCTCAAAGTACGTAATATTATATTGCCTTGAGTATGTTTTAACCCTGCGGCAAGAAATGCATTTCTTAAAAACCTTCTTTTTAAAGCTACAGGATCTTCAGGGTCTTCATGTTCTGCAGCATCTTCAGGATCATCAGGATCTTCAGAATCTTCAGGACATTCAGAATCTCCAGGATCTTCAGGTTCTTCGAAATCTTCAAAATTTTCGGATTGAACATCTTCAGAATCATAAATGCTTCTAACGTCTTCATTTTCCTCATTCGCAGACTATATTTCATTTTCCATGTTTACATTAACATTCCCGGCGTTAGAAATTACTTCATCAGCACTGCTTTCTGATTCAGAATAATCATTTCTAGCAACTCTTCCACGAAACCCAGATAATCTTCTTCTTTTTTGCCTTGAACGTACCAGGTTTTTGACATGGTTTTACTCCGAATCTTATAAGGGAATATGTTGTCTTACAATTCTAATATACCCGTTTTATACCTGGATAATAAAATATTTTTATATTGGTTTAAACTGGTTTTATACAGAACGTACAATATTTTACCCGGCTTTCAAATAGAATCTTTATAAATATTTCATTATGGTTCCTACCTGGTTCTTTGAAAAAATTAATCAGGTTTTTACTCGGCTTCTACATACATCTTACATGGTAATATAAAAAAGTAAAAAGAAATTACATTATAATCATATTATTTTAATTTCTGATTATTATTTTAATCTCAACTTCTATATAGTTTAAATATGCATACGAACCTACGATCTACGCACTTATAGCCTAACGCTTTATACCCTTCAGCAAACAGCGCACATGAAGAGTAAAAATACCCAAGTAACAAGTTGCAATAATAATAAAATATTTTTTATTATCAAAATGTTAAAAATTAAGCTTTTGATAATTTTTCAAAAATTTTGGTCGACATTTTGGATCCGACATTTTGAATTTTCAAAATATGACTTTAGATTTGAATTCAACGATCCCAAAAATTGATTTTGAAATAGAATTACGTTTAGTTTTTTTTAAATGGCATTTTTGTCATGACACACACAGTGCCAACTGTGGTGGCCTAACTGTTAAGAGCTTAAGGAATAGAAACGACATTAACCTTGTTAGCTGTCTATTTTCCCATTAACCAGTATAAAAACCATTGAAAATTATGTATCACTTTAGCAATATATAAAAATGCGATAAACGTTTTATTTTAACTTGACTTCTTATAAGAACCACATTGAAACCCAATTAATGGCCTGCTTAAGAACTGAAATAAGTTTTTACCCCTTATAAAACCAAGTTCACACCGTGTTGAATATATAATTAATAATCATAGTACAAACTGTTAAAACATTTAGCCACCAAAAATCCATTTTTAACTTTCTTTAAACCAAGACGAATCCGTGGATGTGTCAAAGATTTCATTTTATTTCTTCAGGTGGGGACAAAGTAGAACCATTATAAAAATTATTTTTACTTTGTAACGAACCTAATTGAAACTATGATGAATGAGATTCATTCCGCAGTCATCATGTAAAAATCAATTAAAACCAGTTAAAAACTCATACGGAATTAATGGGATTCTTATCAGATTTACTCCTCGGATCTATCTGAATTTTCTGATAATAAATTAAATTTAAGGAGGTTATAGGGATTGACTGAACCCCCACAAGAACCTAATGACACTTTTTTAAACAGATATTTAATCATTATTGTGTACGTTCGCATGAAAAGGGACCACTTTAGTTTCCTTTATAAGGACGATATTTGTGTTAATGTTCACGCAAAAATAATCCTTATTGTAATCGACAAAGTGGTCTCTTTTCATGCGGACGTACCCATATATCTGTTTTGTATTAAGAAAAGTTTCATCAATTTTCAAATGTTAATTACTTTGTGGTGAGTAAATATGTATGAGAAAGTACTCAATTCCCATAAGACATAGAAAATTTTGACCTTCTGAATAAAAATTTAATGGAAAAATTGAAAACAATGTACAGATTTTTTGTTAATTAAGTTTTAAGTTTAAAAAAACATTTTTAAAAGCAAAAAAACTATGTTTTAAACTTAAATCTTACCAAAAAATCAGTCCTTTTTTTTAATGTTGACCTTAACATTTCTTGTTTAGGAGGTCGACAGGTACAAAATTACGAAGTTTAAGGAAATTTCACCTGACCCAAATTTCTCATGCAAGCGCTGCGGGGTTCTTTCAATTTTTTCAAAAAGCGAATTTTAATTGCACATTTTTAAAGACAAGAAATTGTCTTGTTACATTTTCTAATTTCCATAAGATTTAAAAACTTACACAATACTATAAATTTCAAAAATATACAAAAAGAATATCACAATTTAATTACAAATTAA